GTTAGGGAACCTATTTGGAATAACTCTATTTGACTAGTCCATGTCACCAAAGATTGGGTAAGGGATCAAGTTACTTTGAAGAGAAGGTGCTAGGCACTCTTTGAGGTCCTCAACTATAGGTCCCAGCTAGATTTTGAACTATGTGGATTATGTAATTAGGTTTGGTGATCAAATAAACAAAGGGAAATATAGGAGTCCAAGAGTCTTATCATAACATATGAGAATTGGTACATGTCCTTAATGATTACATGCGAGGTGCTGGAGAGAGTTGGTAAGGTGGCCTACAGACTTGGTTTGCCACCTAGCTTGTCGGGAGTTTATATGGTGTTTCATATTTCCATACTTCGAAATTACTATGAGGATTCATCACATGTGTTAGATTTTAGATTGATATAGTTAGATAATGATTTGACTTATGTTAAGGAGCCGATGGCCATTTTTGATAGGTAGGTTCTAAAAATGAGATTGAAGAATATTGCATTGGTAAAGGTTAAGTGGAGAGGTCAACCAAAGGAGATGACTTGGGAGACTAAGCATGATATTCAGAGCAGATATCCTCAACTTTTGATATCTCAAGTATGATTCTAAACTTGTTCGAGGACGAACATTTGTTTAAGGGGAGAATGTAATGACCCAACCAGTCGCTTTGTATATTTCAGCCATGTTCCCTATTTGATGCTCCCCGTAAGCGTATTTTGTTGTTAAGTGACTCGCGGGGATGGTTGATTTTGACCTAGGTTTGGCTTTTTACGTAAACGACATCAGAATAATCTTTTGATGGTTCAATAGGTTCTTATGGTGAATTGGACTTAGATGTATGTCTGAATTTAGATTCGGAGTTTCCTAGGTTGATTTGGCTCTTTTTGGCAAAAGTTAGAAATTTGAAGTTTTGGAAGGTTCATAGGTTTAATCGGGAGTTGACTTTGAGGTTATTGGGTTTGGATTGTTATTCCGGGAGATTGAATAGGTTCGTTATATCATTTGGAACTTGTCTGCAAAATTTGGAGTCATTCCGATTTGGTTAGATATGGTTCGACGTGAATTTTGGAAGCTAGAAATTGATTAGTTCATTAGGCTTGAATTGAGATGCGGTTTGTAGTTTTGATGTTATTTTGTGTGATTTGAGACCTCGAGTAGGTTCGTGTTATGTTTAGGATTGGTTGGTATAGTTGGGCGGGGTACTAGGGGGCATTAGGTGGGTTTTGTTTGGGCTTCAGATCATTTAAGGTTGAATTGCCTGATCAGGTCTGGTGTTTTTGCACCTGCGAGATTTGGTCCACAGGTGCGATTCTGTAGAAGCAGACCTGGGGTGACAGATGCGAGCTTAGATAGGATCAGGGATTTTTGTAGAAGAGGCAGCCCTTATGTAGGTGCACACATGCAAGAGCACTACGTGGAGCGCAGAAGTGGCTCCGCAGAAGCGAGTGTGCTTCGCAGGAGTGGAGGGTCGGAGGAGTTAGTGAACTCGCAGATGCAAGCCACTTTCCATAGGAGCTGGCTCACATAAGTGGGCTTTTTGTTCGCAAAAGTGGAATCACTGGGCAGAGTATATTTTTCGAGGATTTAGCTTATTTTATCATATTTTGAGATTGGGAGCTCGAATTGGGGCGATTTTGACCACTTGAATTGGGGTAAGTGTTCTTGACTCGGATTTGACTTTATTTTATGATTCCATCTTTGGTTTTGACTTTTGGTTGATGAAATCTATGCGAGAAAATGGGAATTTTGTGAGTAAATTTTAGAGAGTAATTATTTAGGACTTGAACTCCAATTTGAAGTCGGATTTGTATGAAACTTGTATACTTGGACGTGTATATGAATGGGTGGTCGAAATTTGTGACTTTTGTCGAGTTTCGGGAGGCGGGCTCGGGTTGACTTTTTGATATTTTATAAAGATTGAAGATTTTTTTACTTGGAACCGATTTCTATACCCGTATTTTATGTTATTGAGTTGTTTTGCTAGACTTGACCCGTTCGGAGGCCGATTCAAGAGGCAAGGGCTTTATAGAGTATTGATTTGCCTTGTTTGAGGTAAGTAGCTTGCCTAATCTTGTGTGAGGGAATAACCATTAGGCTTGTACCATGTTTATTCTCTGATATTGTGATGCGATGTAAATGCGAGGTGAAAAGCACACATGTGGGTGCTATATTTGAAAAATGACCGGATTAGACTTTAGATCTTTAGTATGTCATGATTTGATTGTGTACTTTTTTGATACCTGTATAATTCATTGTATGTCTATGCGAGCTTACCGTTTTCATGTTAGAGATCATGTTTAGGATTTTTATTTCCTAAATTGGCCAAGTTAGGCCTTTATGGGATCATTGCTAAATTGATTTAGTTGTAGTCATGGTTTATATGTTGAACCCTCATCCACATTTATTTATTTTCATGTTCGTGTGCCCTTATGTTGATAAATTGTGAGTGTATGTCTTTGATGATGATTTGACAAGTTGCCTTATTGTAATTATGGCACTCGTGGAAATGTTGGGCGAATTGTTTGGGTGTTGGCACGAGGTTGTTGTCGTGCGATTGTGATTTATATTGTTATTATTGTCGGGTGCGATAGGGGCAGATATTGCTATTGTGTCGGGTGCAGAGCGATAAGGGTGGCTATTTCTATTATGTCGGGTACGGTGCGATAATGGCGGATATTGCTATTGTGTATGGTGCAAAGTGATAAGGGCAAATATTCCAATTGTGACACAAATATAGGTACGAGGTGTGATATGGTTGTCTTTCTATTTGATGACTTGTTGTCAAAACTGACCCCTTTACTTGCATTGAATTGTTATCAAATGTTCTTGTTACACCCTTGTACTTTCATTGTTGGAATGCGTCTTAAGTGAATCAGTATAAGCCGGAGAGTTTAAGGACCCTTACAAAGACAATGATGAGTTAACACATTGTTACAGAAGCATCGTGAGGATTGGAGGATAAACAAATCCTTTATAACCCCTACTTTTGGGGGTAAAAATAGGAATGATTAATATTCTAAGAAGGTCTTATTTTGAGGTAATTAAATCATATAATATTCGTATGTTTGAAATCAAACAAGTTGTAAAACAAAGTCGACAAAAGTTGTCACAAAATACATTTATAATTTTATTGAAATTTGGATCTAACGTCACTAAGTTTTTCTCTCAAAATACTTGGAGTTACGAGGTGATACCCACCAAATTGAAGATCTACGAGTCTAGTTTCTAATACATTAAATCGTCGATACGACACCGGAGTAGAGAGATATTTATAATTTTGTGATACTGCACAAGCAACTCCCTATGGGACCCACGTAGGTGGTGGTCGACCTACTTCATTTTTTAAAAGATTTGGACAAACATTCTTGCTCATTTTCTACCCAACTTCATCCTTACACTCATCTTAACCCTCCTAAATAGATTTCAAAGGTTCAAGGGTGATTCCAAAGTAATTACACTATATTTCAATATCAAAAGTTAGATATGGTGAGGAACAATACCTCTATGATGTTGTGATGATGTTCAGGGTTGTTGTGAGCTAACAACAGCCTGGATTAAAGCTTGTGAGTCCTCTATAAGGTAATTAACTTCGTCCTCATACTCCCAAAAACCCTCCCAAGCAGCTCATAAGTGATTAAGAGTGAACCTTGATGATTTAACCTAAGATTAACCTTGAAGATTAGCTCAAGTGAAAATTAGCACTTCTATGGTGTTGTATTTCCATTAAGGGTTGTTGTAAACTAAGTATAGCTTGGATTTCGGCTTGAAGCTACTGTAGGAGGTAAGTATATTGTGATATTGCTTGTTCTTAAGGTTATCTTGATGTTAATTGAGTTAAATTGATTGATTAGACATGAATTAGTAAATATAGTTGCTAATTGACGATAGTTGGAGTTGTGGACTGTTTTCTTTGTGATAAATATATGGTACAAGGCTGGAATCATTGATGAATGACTTTATTATCATGTTAAGGATATTGTTAAGTTAAAGTAATAATCCTATAAGGGGTGATATGGGGTATGCGGATTCCAATTCGAATTTGTCGCTCGTTAGAGTAACCTGCTCTAGACCTTGGAGTCCATTTTCTATATACATACCCGATGGGTAGGTCGGAACCCTGTCCCAACCATGATACAGTTTTGTTATCCTTAGAGGCTTGTAGACGAGTGTTGTATATGTTGTATGTCAGTATTGTGGCCTTGCTAGCCTTGTGTACATGTTCAATTTGATATTGCTGGTTGTAGACGTTCATGGCAGCCTCGTCGGCCAGCACAATTATGTACATGAGCTTTTGAGTATGTTTACCCCTCAGATGAGATAGACATTATTTTTAGATGATTCAGAATATGATCTTGTCGGCCTTGATTGGTATTGTCAGCTTGTAGGTAGGCCTCGTCGACCTAAGTTGAGGGTTACCTCTCCAGAGTTTACAATTACAGAGTGCTACGCTCGAGCCGAGTATGGCACCGGGTGCCGGTCACGCCTCCCAAGGTTTGGGGCGTGACAGTTCTAAACGAGATTGTGATATTATTTTCCGTTATACATTCTGTTGTCAGTTATTGATATATTGCACATGTTATTTGATTAGTAAGTATCATATGACTCGAATCTCGTCACTATTTCACCGAGATTAGTCTTGATACTTACTGGAAATCGATTATTATGTAATCATACTGCACTTTTGCACCCAAAATAACATACAAGACCATCAAGGCAAACAATGATCCACGCTAAGTAGATAGATGGTAACCGGCTAATGACTTCGGCAAACTCGAACAAAAATAAAGGAAACATCTGTAGGGACGTAGAGAGGAGAGCAGGGAATCTTTATCGCATATAACGAATAACGAATAACGAATAACGAATAAAGAAAGACGTAAAAGGTTTTGAGAAGCCTTAAACGGATAAAAGAGAGCCACACGGCCCAATCATCACATACATCCAGATATTAGGAGAATAGTCTCATTAAGAACTCCAGCACTTCTCTGCTTTGATTTCATTTCAATTGGGGAAATTTGAAGAATGCTAACGGTAGAACATGCCGCTGCCACCGTCCGTTTCTCCGCTGTGAACTTCGACGCCACCTCCCGCCGTTTATCTCATTCCGTCAGCTTCTTCATACCTCGGTACAGCTACTTCTTCCTTGCAGCTGCAGCACAGTGTTATCAATTAACTAAAGGCCTCAATTGATTTGAGAGTTTTGTTTGCAGGGATAAATTTGGAAGATTGGCGGACAATTGTGCTGGTGGTGGAAGAAGAACGTGCAAGGACAAAAATGGAGGAATTAAAGCAACTGCAAAGGATCATTTTAGCTCCGGTTCGGAGCCAGTAAAACAGAGTACATCATATCATCCGTCTGAGGACATTGGGGAGTTGGAACTAATGGAGAATGAGGATGCTCAACTCAAGCCAGCTGAATGTTCTAGGACAATTATTGAGGTTAACTGTTTTCTGCAAAACATACTTATTTATGCAACACATTGTTTTTGATGATAACACGTTATTTCCTCTAATTTAACAAATTTAAGAAGAATTCTACGACTTATCTCTGAAGAGGGAAAGATATTTTGGGTCCATTAAGCAACTTGATTGTAATATAGAGATGTACACACTTAGAAGATATACAAAACTTTTGATACTTTTTATTTGTATGGATTTATGTTATATATATACTAACATTTTAATGAACTTTTTACACCATCAGTTGCATACTATTTATTCTAGGTTATAAATCAAATCTTATTATATAAAGTTACCTGTAATTACTTTTTAATGACCTGATTGTTTAAAATATTTTTTACAACATCAGTGCATAGAACTTAAAACTCTATTTGTATTTGCATAATATTGGCATGGAGTAATGTGGCCAGTGAGGATTCATATAGTCGATCCCAACTTGTTTGGAACTGAGGTGGAGTTGTTGTTATTGTATGAGCATATGCAAATAATACCCTTTGACATATAGAATTTACTGCTGACTCTGCAAAATGCTTTCCTACCTTGTGCTTTTAGTCAATGTAGCTTTCAAGGATCTATTTGTCGTCTGAAATGGACCCTTGCTAAATTCTAAATGACAGGGCATTGTCCACAGGTTTTCAGTTGCTTTCTGATATTCTTGAGCAAAATATAATCTAGGCTGGTGATCATTATGGCTGGTTGTCTATGGTTAGCTGATATTTCCTTAATCACTTGATGTCTAGGTAAATAGCAAAGCGACACTCATGTTTTCAAGTGCAGTCAGTGATGTAATGCATGCGAACATTTTCTGGCCAGATTTGCCTTATACAACTGATGAACTCGGAAGTAAGATTCCCAGTTCTTTTTATTAGCATGTTTTGCTCAAGCTAATATTTTCTTCTTTGTGGTTAGTGGCTTATCTACAACCCTCGAAGGTTTATGTGCTTTCCCTTTTTATCAGATGTCTACTTTCAAGTAAAGAACGACGAAGATGTTCTGAAAAATCCAACAGAAGAAGAAACTGTTGTGGTAAGGAACAATTGAACTAAGAAGTTCAGTTAGTTTTCATTGTTAGGCGCTTCTGTGTTTCTCCAAACAATGTATTATTTTGCTTTTCCTTGTTCTTCAGCAAGTAACTTTGATATAGTAGCCACTACTGGATTCAAATGATTGTGCTTCATTTTGAGATAACCGTTTGCGGATCACTTAGCTACTTTCCTTTTTGTTGATGTTGATTAAGCATTTATTGTTTCCTAATCATGTCATGGTCATTTTCCCTCATTTTGATAAATAAGAAAACAGGAATCATGATAACAACTCATGGTCTTCAATAGCCCAGATGTAATGTTTCACAAGCTTATCCATCATAAGAGACAAATTTTCAATATAGTATTATCTTGATTATGACTTTTATGATCATCTTCCTGTGGAAAGATTCTTGTGTTGCATTGGGTTATAAGCTGGAGCATTTCTCCTACCACTCTATTGTGAAATCCAATTATCTTTTAAAAGCTCTTTCTTTCTGAGAGATATGGTAGAAGAGCTTAAAAAAATGTGAGGAACCTCTGCTATCATCAATCCACATATTTCTGCTTTCCATTAATTCTATGGAGATATACTAATGAAAAGTTAAACCTTATAAAAAAAACTAATGAAAAATAAAATAAAAAGAGCTCACAGATGGCAACTTCCACATTAGAAAACTACTTGGTTTTCTCTGAAGGCTTACTTAATTTCCAATAAAATGCAGCAAGTAATTATTGGCTTAGATACATCCGAAATGATGAGTGAGATGAAGTCATCAGGTCAATCTGAAACTGATTACCACATAGATGAATTTGATGACGAGGGTGTCGATATAGATGATTTAGAGGACATTGATGAAGACGACGATGATGATGATAATGAGGATGATGATGATAATGATGATGAATCGGTATTACTCATTTTAAATGGCTTACTTTTCAAATATGACTGCTGTTCTATCTTTTTTTTTCAGTTTATAAACTTGTTCACAGGATTGGGTTTCCATTCTTGATGATGAAGAAGATCAGAATGGGGATCCTGACTTGGGGGATTGGGCTACGTTAGAGACAATGCGTTCCTCTCATCCAATAGACTTTGCCAAAGCAATTACTGAGGTAAATGTCCTCCTGATAAATTGTATGCAACGAAGTTAAAAGTGTGAAAACTATCAATTTGACTTCCTCATGTTACATTTAGTTCTCTATATGTGTTACATATAGCTTTTTTATCTGCCATGGAGATTAAATCAAACATTTAATTTTGTGGTCTAATTTGCTGCTCAGGTTGTGACAGATGATCCTATAGATTTTATGGATCAGCCTCCAGCAGGTCTTGTTATCCAGGGCCTTCTAAGGCCAGCATTCCCTGAAGAGCACGCTTCCATTCCAAAGCAGATATCTGAACATAAATCAAATGATGCTGGTATAGACCAAATAGAAAAAGTTGCAGAATATAAGCAAAACTGTAGTGTTCAAGTCAATGGCCACAAACATGAAAGTGGATCTTCGCAAGATGGCCCAAGTTGTCCAGAGGAATTGGAGAAGGACGAAACCCTTGGAAATGGAACTTCATTTTACAAGCTAGAGATGATTAAAATTCAGTTAATTTCTTCACATGGGCATCAAGTAAGTTTTGTAGGTTTATGAGGTTCCACCTTGAATTTGTTGGTCAGCATTACAATACTTTCCTTGCCTCAATCTGCATCTGTGGACTGCAATTATGTAACTATTGTGAATCATTTGTGTCATCCTAGTGCTTATCGTCATTAAGTACGGGAAGTTGGACTTGATAATCTCAGAAGGGTTACAGTCGGTGGCACAGGGGGCAGCTATAAGTGTGTGACACCTTATTTGTTAAGTCGAAAAAGAAAAATATTACGAGAAAAGAGCATACTATTATTTTGAACAAGTAGAAAAAGGGTACTCTTCTCATTTGTCCCTTTTCTATAAGGGGAAAAGTTCTGTCCTGAAATTGCTGCAGTTGTTACATGCAAAGATGAAAGCTAGTTTGGAATAGACAGCAGAAACAGTCTTCCTGTTTTATGTCATGATAGATTTTGGATGACATGGTTATAGCTCTCTTAGATTTGGCTACCAAGCTGAACCCTGGGGACAAGTTCCATGGGATGCTTTTCCGTCAGTGCTAATCAAGTAATCAACTATTATACATGAATACAGTGACTCATTAGTCATTATCATCCATATTGTTTGTATTTCGCAAATGAGTGCTATATGTCATGCATGTATCTCACACTAGAATGTTCTTGATGTTTTAGAATGTAGGTGCATATGATCTATTTTCTTAATCTATCAAAAAGCTTAACAATTTTTGCAATTGTGAGATTCCTGTGAATCTACCCTCAATACTCAGCTTAATCAATTTTATGTCTTCTAATGGTGGGCACAGATCTTAGTGGAGTTAGATGATTTTAGTCAAGCTAAACCTGATGCAATAGCGCATTCAGCTGCCAACATTATATCGCGGCTTAAAGCTGTAGGAGAAAACACCACACAGGCTCTCAGATCTCTCTGTTGGAGATGCAAGGGAATTCAAGTGGAGGTATGACCAATCTTAGTTCCCTGGATATTTTCTAGATGATTAGATTTTGTTTTTCTTCCCTTCTCTTCAGAAATATGATGCTTTAGAATCCATCGAGTGGTTTGCCCTTTTAACAGCCAAATAAAGTGATATAAAAGCAAACGCAACTCTTCCTCCCCTTCTTTCCCCAAACCTCCTTTCCTTGGAATGAGATTGACTTGCATATGCAGGTATTTCCAAATATTGGAGCCATTTTTTAAAAATGGTAGACAACTGATCGATTTTGTTGCTTTCCTACATCATTGAAATGGAAACTAGTCTGCTGCTTTTGTGTGCCCCCAGCACGTACTTGATGCTATTATTGTGAATAAAATACTCTCTCTTACACGTGCGAGCAGACACACAATGTAGCCATCATTTAACTGCTTGTTTTCTGATGTTTTATTGTTTATTCATTTGTTGTTATTTTTCTAATACGAGAACATATCCTTCTTGCGGTCTGTTTGATGCATTAACATGGAACTGTAAGACTTGAACCACATCACTGTTTAGGGTGATGTCCCTGTCCCACTGGCTACTTCATCTTACTTCTTTTTGCCATGTATGACAGGAAGTGGCTCTGATTGGTGTAGACAGCCTTGGTTTTGACCTGAGAGTTTGCTCTGGAGCACAAGTTCAGACACTGCGGTTTTCCTTTAAAAAGCAGGTATGATATTTATAATACTTGTGTTTTGATTTTGAGATTCAAACTTCATTTCCAGTTTTGCTGCATATCTGCTGAGCTCAAATGAACTGTTGTCAATGTGGATTACCATATCTTTGATACATACCTGACATGCAGGCTTAGTTTACGTGTAAAACCAGAATGAATATTTATTATCGAGATCGAATGGAGAGAAGTGCTTCTGCTTATTAATCATATTTGCTATTTTAGACCACAAGCTTTTGGTTTTTGAGAATCACTTTGTGCTATTTCCAAGTTCCAAAACAGTAACTATTTCATTTTCCTGTAAAAGTAATAGAACATTCTATTTGCAGGCCTCCTCGGAGTATAGTGCTGAAAGACAATTAAATGATCTGCTGTATCCAAGGTTCCACCCTAAGTTACAGAAGCAAGAAACTCACCAAGCTGAATCATGAAAAATTTAGACTACAAAAAGTCTACAGTATCTATAGATTTTGTTGTAGTTTTGGCTCAAAACTGTATACAGAATGTAAAGACTCTTTGTTCCATCCCATCATATTATTTATTCGGTGGAGGTCATAACTATCTCCCTTTACTGTTCTTGTGACCTCCATAGTCCCATTATAATGCAATTTTGGTTAATATATCTTTTGAATAAATTTCTGTCTGTGCTAGACTTTGCAAGGTGCTTTCCATAACCAGTTGGGCCAAGTGTTTTATCATCTTAGAGCAATTAGCTACATCTGATTTTGCTGATGCAGCTCCTTCCATGTCATGATGTTTTATCAGGAAGCATGCACAGTCAATAGTATTTTAAGTTAAATATTGGACCCACACAACATTATCATATCACAAACTTCAACAAGAAGTATATAAGAACCACGGTGTCCAGGTAAAAACCTGTCCAAAGATCACATCTTTTGATATGTCTTGATAAACATTAAACCGCATGGCTATGTTATTGAAACCTAGAATAAACACTTCATAGAAAATAAATCCTTGTCTTCTCTTATTATGAAAACAGAATTAAGTAACTCTCACTAACAACTTTTCGTATAAGTCTCATATGCCAGTTGAGCAGTGAGAAGATCAACAACAGCAGAACCAACAGATTTAAACACAGTAATCTCCTCAGCAGTTGTTCTGCCGTTCTTTTCTCCCTTGATCAATTCCAACAAGTTCCCAGCAATCTCATCCCTTGTAATAACCCCTCTCTCAAATGCACCTACTAATTCCCCTGCCTCTACCAACGCAGCCTCGTTATCAACAAACACTTTCCCCCTCTTCAACGCTTCATCATCGCACTCTCTCATCGAATGCTTAAATGATCCAACCAAATCCAAATGCGCCCCTTCTTTAAGCTTCTCCCCCTTCACCAATGGCGTCTCCGAATTCGTTGCACAACTCACTATATCTCCCAACTCCACAACTTCCTCAAGACACCCATTACTCTCAAAACTCACCCCTTCAAATCCACCTTCACTTTGCAATTTTTCAATCACCCATTTTGCCTTTTCAGCAGTTCTGTTCCATACTATCACTTTCTTCAAATTTGGCCTAACTGTTAGATGTGCCTTGATCAAGTGTGGTGCTAAAGTACCAGCACCAATCATCAAAAGGGTTTCAGAATCGTGTCTTGATAAGAAGTTAGAAGCTAAAGCTGAGATGCAAGCAGTTCGGTAGACAGTGAGTTCAGTGGCATCCATAGTAGCTAAGGTTTGTCCAGTGATGGAATTGAAAAGAACATAACTTGCGTGAACCCCAGGTAAATTTTGGGTGGAATTGTTGGGGTGATAAGTGACTAGCTTGACACCAATATAGGGAAGTGAAGGGGAACAAGACCAAGAAGGCATAAGGAGGAGAGAAGTGGAAGGGCTTGTTTGGTGGGCATGGCGAAGAGGGGATTGAGTGGTGGAAGTTAAGGTAGGGAGGGAAAATTGAAGGTGGTCGATGAGGGATTTGTGAGAAAGGAGGGTATGGAGAGTGGCGGAGGAGATGAAGACCGGTGGTGGTGTCATGGTGGTGGGTACAGTGGATTGGGATTTTCGTGTTTCTTTTTGGTGGCAATGGAATTGTGTATTTCAGGAGAAATGGACGACGACTCGGTAGTTGGGTACTTGGGTTCCTTGATAATTCTTTATAGGAATTTTTGTATATTTATACACTATTGGAAACTTTATTACATTTTCTACTCAAGTTTCAATTTAATTACCTTCTATATATAAATTTATCAATTATATACACTTTAGAAATTAAATGAATATCCCTTTATATTAGGAATTTATTATTTCTCATCCGTATTCTCTCTCCCTCCTACTCTCTCTCTCTCCGTCTCTCTCTCTCCTGCTCTCTCTCCGTCTTTCTATCTCTCAATTCCTAATTCCAATAATGTAAGCAAAGGAAAGGAGAGTAGCAATCCCACCATTGAAAAACTTTGAAGTTTTGAATTGGATTTTTAAAAACATTATTTGTTTGAATTGAGTGTTGTTGCAAACAATTGGGAATTCTCTCTACGTCTCTCTGTCTCTCAATCCCTAATTCCAGTACTGTAAAGCAAAAGAAAAGAAAGCAGCAATTCCACCATTGACAGCCATTAAAAAGCTTTGAAGCTTTGAATTCGAATTTGGGTTTTCAAAAACCATTATTTGTTCGGATTGGGTGTTATTGCAAACAATTGGGAATATGGTTTGGAGTTTACATCTCAATTTTTTAGGATGTTTTGGTAAAGATTAGACTTGATTTTGGCTGAATTTCATATTGAAACTCGTGGCATACATTATACTTACGAAATTGTAGAAAAATTGTATTTTGTTGTTTATATATATTTTTTTATTTAACTAATTATATGAAAGTTGAACAATATTGTATAAAAATTGTATTTAAGTTGTATGATATTGTAGTTATATATAACTGAGTAGAAATAATGTATGAAAATTGTAGATAAGTTGTATAATATATAATTAGTTATATGAATTTTGTTTTTACTATGTATAAATCAGATACAAAATATCCAAAAGAAATATTGTATAAAATTTGGATAAAAATTGTATTTAAGTAGTATGATATTGATTTTTATATAACTAGGTAGAAATAATGTATGAAAGTTGTAGATAAGTTGTATAATATATAATTATTATGTTTTTTTAAGTAAATCCACTAGGCGATGTACCTAGGACTAGTTTTATTAATAATAAAAATAAAAAACAACATAGGATGAGTACAAATAAGGGGGACAATAGCACTAGTAGTGTTGCCTCTATGCCTTGGCTATATAATCACTCTTCTGCGCCTCACATTACCTTATGATGTCAGCCTCATGTACAAGATCATGGTGTAGTTGCCGGCAAAGTTTCACGAGTGTTGATACCCAATTTTTTCTTATATATTTTTAATACGTATATATACTTTCAAAATAGTATATATGCATATATAAGCATGCATAAGCATTTTTTATAATTTTTCTATAATTTTAAAGGCTTCAAATTGATTTATTTCTTCCCCTTTTATTTATAAAATTTTCAATAATTATCCTTCAAATTATTTTTGTGGTGATTTTAGTCATCTAAATTTTATATTATGCCAAAATATTGTTTAAATATTTTTAGTGCATTTTTTATAATTGAATTTACATTTTTAAGTTAATTTGCATATATTTGCAATACTAGCCCTATTAGTGCATAATTACGTTATTAATACATAAAATAGTCTTTTATATTTTTAAAATGTTAAACAACTATTTTTAATCATTTTAGTAAATGAAATATTTTTTGGAAATCCTTTTATTATTTTTTATAAATTGTATAGTACTGAAAATGGCTATTTAAAATCTAACCTACTTTTATTTTAATTTTAGCCCAAACCCAAAGCCAAAATCAGCCCAATTTTTAAACCAAAATCTACCCAGGCCCAATGCCCACCTACCCAACCCAAATACTCGGCCAAATCCTGGCCGTTGATCATTTTGATCAACGGTCCAGGTTTCACCTTTCCTTAATTAAACCACCCTATACACCAAAACCCTAATTCATTTCCCATCTTATATCGCCATCATTTAATACTCTCTGCTCTCAAACGCTCTCACCCTAACCTTAATTCCCAATCTCACTGACCCCCATCTATGGCTATCTCCGGTGACCTCTCAACACCTCTCAGGGCTCCAATGGCTTCTCTCATGTCATTTTTGCCATCTCTAAGGCCCTCAAGGGACCAGGGCTATGTCGACTTGTATCTAGGGTTCATTTCTCGCCTATTCCAGGCCATTCCAGTGTGATTTTGAGTGAGATCGTCCTATATTAGCCACGATCTATGGATTTCTAAACAAGTTTCTTCATCTCTGCATGGTTCTCTTCGAAACCCCTAATTTCTTTTCTAAAAAACCTCCTAGATCTGTACAAATCTAAGGTGATTTGAGTTTGTTTCCTGTGAGTTTTACAACGGCCTTGAGATTCTTTACAAGAATCATATGATTTCAAGTGATTTTTCATCTTTTCCGAAAACTTGGGTTTCCGGAATTTCTTTTTAAAATTTGTTTGATGATTCTTTGTGTTCAAACTTCTGCTTATCATACATTTTTGACTGATTTTATGAACCTGCTACAACCCTAGCCAATGTTTAAACCTTACTCTTTATATGCAACTTGTTCAAATTCTTTGAGTCATACAATGTCCAAAACATGCCCTTATTTGCAAGTATGTGTTTAACTATTTATTTGATAAAGTACTAATTCATAAGTATAAGTTCGGTCGGAACCCACCGTTGTGGACTGAGAGGGGTGCCTAACACCTTCCACTCAAGGTTATTTCGAGCCCTTACCCTAAATATCTGGTAATGCAAACTAGTCTAAGAGTTAATTACTCTAGGTGCCCTAACGCACCATAATTTGTTAGGTTGCGATTGTTCAAAAAACCCAAATTCCCAAAAGGAAATGAGTTATTACCCCCATGAATGTCGAAACCCGTACTTCCCTCTCTCTCTCTCTTCGAAAGAAAGGAAAAAGGGGGCGCGACAGCATGGCGACTCTGTTGGGGATACCTTTAGGCTCTTACAGTAACGTACTTATCTTTTGTGAATTAGTCCAAGCATGTTTTATCCCGCACCTTTTCCCCTTATTTAGATTTAATTGTCTATTTTCTTTTAAGCATTTATGATTCTTTTATTTCCGAAACTGACTTGTCTCTTTGTTTTCCTTTTCCATAACTATATTTCAATTATTTAAATATTGTATTTATTTTTCCTACATGCAAATACTTGACTACATGTTATTTATTGCTGCATATATCATGCTCCACATCATATTCCACTCGTGCGTATTAAATCTTATAGTAACGCTTGATGAGCGGTTACGCTCTTCCTATTTATTACCCTTAAATTCGGAAAGGCTTATTCGCGGTAAAACCAGTCGATCAGCGGTGCAGTCGACGGTTCTGTGCATTTCCCCCTCAAGTTATCCTCTTGAGGGTACCAGTCTAAACCCTCATAGTAACCTTATTCTGATCAAATTGTGCATGCATCATGGTCAAACCTAGTAGGATCAATTATGTTGTCCACATAGTGATCCTTTAAGATGAACCTTATCCAAAGTCTACCGGGGTTTCCATAATCCCAACGGACACAACCATGTTCTGTGCATTAATTTGGAGAACTAAATACCAATATGCTAATCATGAATGT